TCCATATACGGGTTGAAGCAGGCATCACGTCAATGGTACCTAAAGTTGCATCAAGTCTTGAAGTCAGAAGGTTTCATAAAGAATCAAGTGGATCAATGCACCTACCTCAAGATGAGTGGGAGCAACTTTACTATACTTGTCCTTTACGTAGATGACATTCTATTGGCAAGTAATAGTTTAGACATGTTGCATGAGTCCAAGCGCTTACTCTCGCGTAATTTTGACATGAAAGATCTCGGAGAGGCTTCTTATGTTATTGGCATCGAAATACACCGAGATAGAGTCAATGGTATTTTGGGATTATCTCAAAAGGCTTACATTGAGCGTGTCCTTACACGTTATAACATGCAACATTGCTCTCCTTCTGTGGCTCCAGTAGTTAAGGGAGATGTTTTCGGTTTATTTCAATGTCCGAAAACAGAGGTTGAAAAAGAACAGATGAGAATGATACCTTATGCGTCAGTAGTAGGAAGCCTTATGTATGCACAAGTCTGTACTCGTCCAGATATCGCTTACATTGCTGGAATGTTAGGTCGTTATCAGACCAATCCTGGTCTTGATCACTGGAAAGCAGCTAAGAAAGTTCTTCGATATCTACAAGGGACAAAAGACTATAAACTGACTTACAGAAGGAGTGATAATTTAGAAGTGGTTGGTTATTCTGATTCTGATTTTGCTAAGTGCAAAGATGACAAGAAATCCACTTCATGGTATATCTTTATGTTAGCTGGCGGACCTATCTCGTGGAAGAGTCATAAGCAAGAGTTGACCGCAACCTCTACAATGATGGCAGAATACATTGCGCTGTACAACGCAACCTGTCATGGGATGTTGCTCAGAAACCTCATCACTGGACTCAAAGTAGTTAATTCCATCTCTCGACCATTGAAGCTTTATTGTGATAACTCGGCCGCCGTTAGTTTCTCGAACAGTAACAGTTCGACTGGCGCTGCTTTATATCTTGATACAAAGTACTTGTTCGTACGTGAGGGAGTTGAGGAAAATAAACTTTGTATTGAGCATATAAGTACTAAGAATATGCTTGCGGATCCGATGACTAAAGGTCTCCCTCCTAAGATTTTCGAAGAACATGTTTCGAAGATGGGGTTATCTAAAGACCTTATTTAGTTGCATATTGTACTTGCTTACATTTAATAATAAAATTTCCTCATTGTTTTGTTTGTTTTGTCTCTGAATGTGTCTA